ACAGACACTTGCCAGTATCCAAAAGACCAGCCTAGGTCTGTGCCTGACTCACCACGGCAGGTCGGGGTTAGCCTGACCTTGTCAGTGCCTGCTGCCGATAGCACCGGGGTCTTACCTGACCAGACAACTCCTAAGAACCTGACAGGTAAGCCAGGCCCTTGGACCTTATAGTCGTTCACCGCCTCTCCTCCTGAGCCCAAAGCCTGCCGTAGACTCCTGGCAGCTGCCTTCAACTCTGCAAGAGAATCAGAGGTTAGCATGCTGCCATCAACATACCAGAACATTGTCACCGTGGGAGGCTTGCCCAGGTGGCTAAATCTCATGCCACCAGCCATGACAGATGGTAGGGCTGTGCAAGTATCCTTGCGGGGGAACGACAAAAGTCCATGTCGACCGTTTCCCGTGGAAGCAAACTGCTCTGGACTCTCTGGGGCTAGGTCTATGGAAGAGAAAGCATTAGCCAAATCCACCCAAAGTGGTAGCACCCCAACGTGAGAGTCAGGCGCTCCATGAGCTCCGTTGTAGCCGGCACTGCGGAGTGTAGGAGAGCCACTTTCTCAGGTCCCTGCAATTCAGTCCTTCGCCGGCTTCTCCACCGGCCACGCTGGAGAACTGTGCGGGCTGCATGGCCGATGTCTTCACCTCCTCCAGCTGCACTGCTGTCTGTCCAATTTCCTCATGGCCTCCTGGGAGGCCTTACTGCTGCACCCACACCACCTGGCGGGGGCTCGGCAGTGTCACCACGGAGCGCATTATGTGGGTGCCCCCTGGTGTGATGGGCTTTACCACACGCACACAAGTGGAATTCGCCCTGGGTCATTGCAGTCCTTAACCCTTCCGCACATCCCTTCCAAGATGTATCTGTAAGGGAGAGACATACCCGGTATAGGCCTTTGGGGGAAGGCGGCCAATACCAGCGTCAAGGTTGCCTGCCGCACAGGGCAGTTCTGCCTCCAGACCCGTCTATATGGGCCACTGGGCCCGCATATCTGTCCGGGTTGCCACAGAGCAAACTGCAGTCCACACTGGTCCCCACCAGCACCAACACACGTTGCAAGTTGCAGGGGGACAACATATGGTGAGTTCCTCCGGTCCTCTGGGGTCCCGCCTAACCGGGTGCCTCGCCGGCTCCTCAGTCTAGGAGATGAAACCCTCCTCCTCAGGGGAGTCTAGGAGTCCTGGAGGCCCCCTCCCCCCACTCCCGTCTAGGGGACCTGCCTTTCCTCACAGCTTCTGGAAACGCTGTCCTGCTGGCCATCGCCTCCCCAGGGCCATGGGCTGCTTATCTATGTTCTTTCTTAAGCCCCGCTGCCAGCAGGTCCACCCACACTGGCGTGCAGGAGACTTCCACGGGCTCTGTCCCCGCCGCTCATCCAGCTCGTGGTCTTAGGCACCGCTTTACGCACCTTAGGCTTCTGCACAGTCACAGGTCTCGCTGCTTGACTTCTACGTCCCCCAAGCCAGCATGGCTTTAGTCGCTTCATGTATACGGTGGTTTACGAAAGGGGTCCAAGTGGCTGCCAGTGAGCCAAACCCGCTGGGGTAGGGGCTGCAGTGAGAATCAAGTCTTTCATATGCGTCACAAAAGGCTCATCATTAGGACCATGAGTATTTAAATTAAACATGGCTTTTCTCAAGCCCATTTCCCGTATCACTTGCACTTAATCTACATACGTAGCCCATTTACTCGTGGTTTCTGGCACTTCTCCGGCATCCTGCCAAATGCTTTGAGACGCCGCCATTACCCGTCCATCAGGAGTGGTCTCCCTGTCCGGTTCCCAAATGGTGACTGATCTGCAGTCGCTGCCACCAGGAAGGATGGGTCGTTATGGAGGTAACTTCTCCATCTTGGGCAGAGACAACTGCAAGCTATCTGCGCCGTCATCCCACAGCCCTAGGGGCCACGTGGGAATCGGCTCCCCAGGCCTCTGCCGGCTCCGTTTTCCTAATCCTCTCAGTTCTGTGGGGTATAGGAGGCATATGTGGTTAATTCAGTAACCGTGGGTGGCCCCTGAGCCCCACCTCCTTGGGCCACCAGCTGATCGTGCTCTGAACGCCTTTTATGATCTGTTGCGCCTGCAAGACCGGGGCCGGGGCCGCTGCCCCAGCAGTCCTCCGAGCTGTCCTCTGGCTCTGGTTCTCCCGGTCCCTCCTGTCCAGAAAGGCTCCCTCCTGCTCTCGCCCATGTACCCGGGCCTCCAATTCCTCCTCCAGGTTCTGTAACTCATGCATCTTGGCTTCCCAAGCCAGCGTCTCGCGGTTTTGCAGTTTCAAGGCCCGTAGGAGCAACCAGCCTACCTTCCTGGCAGCCTTCCGCTGGTCTTTGGGAATCCATCAGGGATGACAACGCCTTCCCTAATGCCTCTGGCATTACCTTAACCAGCTCCCAGTCCTCCAGGGGCACGGGGCCGGGTTAAGGCATCAGGACCGCGCTACCCGATACCACAACCTGGTTGGAGGCCACATTCCCTCCGATGTGGTGGACGGGGCACTTACCCCAGAATCCTGCCCGCTACACCAAGTGTTGGGGGCAAATTCCTCAGCCAGGAACTTGACCCCTCTGGGTGTAGAAAGAACAACACATGGGTGACCGCTGATAGGTGGGACATGATTTATTACGAACAAAGCAGCCAAAAACTGGCTGGTCGGTGGCAACTTACATACATGCTCAAATGGAAGAGGCCTTGTGCCAATTAGTGATGCTCAAATTGTATTAACATAAGCAGGTTATATAAGGGTGCGCTTGTGCAGTACGTCTATTGCTACTGCTGAGTCATTGCCCTTGGGCATGCATAGGGCAAAGGGGCCTTTCACATAGTAAACTGCTCTGTCCTTGCCTGCACCCATGCGTATGGCGAGTGGGGGGTAGGCCCTGAACCTCCGGCATACTCTGGTCAGGGCCCCCACACATATACAGCAATTTTGAAAGAAAACAATGTTGTAAATTAGTGCTTCTTCCACTCAACCACGAATCCCAACCATGAACTCACTTAATCTTGTCTTCCCTGTGGGTTCTCAGGAAAACATTTACTTCCTTTCATCTATGACAATTTCAGGCATAAAACGCTTTATCCTTGGCCTGACCACAGGCCCTGGATAAGATATAGTCGGGCTTTACAAGCATGTTTTTGCTATTTATGGACAGTTCTGAGCTTACTTGTTATTCTTTGGGAGTACCCCGAGCTACCTTGTTCATATACCGCTAGCAACACACTGAATATAATGAGCCTTTATACAGACCCACCTGTACCAGGTGGTACTCTAAGCTGACTACACATATTTACCCATTATCCTACAAAACAACTTTACTATTACATAGGGTCTGGTATTATCCATGTTTCACAGATGAGGAAACTGAGGCACAGAGGAAGGACGAGTAAGTACATAGAGCTGGTAAGTTCCTGAGCAGGGACTGGGAGCCTGGCCCTCCCCCACTCACCTCACACCTTTGCGCTCCTCCACCACTGCACCTAGCAGCCAAGCAGCCAAGCCCTGGCCTGATCTCTATTTCTCTGGTCAGAGAAAGACCCTGCTGCCCAGCTCTAAAGTCATCTCCCAAACGGACCAAGGCAAATTTCTTGCAATTGGGATAGTGGCCATTCTTTGTTCTTTAGTTTTTATTTATTGACTAGAGGCCTGGTGCATGATATTCGTGCACTCGGGTGGGGGGTGGGTGGGGCGGGGGTGGGCTCAGCCCGGCCTGTGCCCTTTAGCAGTCGGGGAGCCCTCCTCACTCTCTGAAGTCTTAAATGGAATATTTAAGAATGAAGAGTTCAACTGGAAAATGCCATGATCTGACCGGTCCTGGGAAGATGAATCTGGTGCTGGCATGTAGAGAGGTCCAGGGAGGGCGTGCTTGAGGAAGTGGGTGGAGAGAGCTGGTCCAAAACTTTCCCTCCGTAGCCACGGACACTGTGGGAGGTTTGGGAATGGAAGGGAAGAGTGTGTGGGCAGCTGCCTCTGGGAATACCTACGAGAAGGCAGTTAAAATGATCCCGCTATTTTGGGCCGAGTGGGTAAAATGAGAGCGTCATTATCTGAAATAGGCCTATCAGGAAGCTCATCTGATTCAGGAAGAACAAGTTCATTTTAGAATCCTTGTCATCATCCCGGTTCCACAGCTGGGAGACGCCATGAGTGAGCATATAAGGAGCTCCTTCAAGGGTCTCCAGGGTCCAGTAATTACAGGAAAGGGCTGAGAGCTGAGGGCCAGGCCATCTTCTGGAGGCGCCTGCGGAGAGCTGGGAGGTGGAATTTGGCATCTGATGTGAATAGACAGAGTATGGCTTCCCCAATAGCCTAACCTCACAGTGACAAGTGACTTTTCTGTGTCACACCTAAAATCCTTAGAAAGTGAGTATCGCTAGTTACATGGCAAACTGGTTATGTGCTTGGTCTCCAGACGTGATCTCACTTCATACTAATTTTTTAAAAATAACGAAGTCAAGCAGTTTGGAACGGGCCATTCTGCTTCTTTCTGCAAAGCTCGGACAGTGCCAGGGCCCCTCACTGGGGGGGGGGGGGGGGGGGGGCAGAAAGCCCCTAGGCTTGTGGGACCCTTGCTCGCGGAGCAGGGAGGGAGCTGGAGTCAGGCCTCGCGGTGCGCGCAGAGCCTGGCCGGTGGGCGGGCCACGCCATGGAAGTGCTTCAAGAACCCCCTCATAGGGGCCGACCCTCAATCTCGGATGGGGACACCTTCCCCGATGTCACAGAAGCTCTGGATCTGTCCCCGCACAGCAGAGACCATTCAGATGAACTTGCGGGGGCAAATCTCTTCCTTCAGAGTCTGACTTGGACCCAGAACCCGAGTTGCAGCGGTGCGCGCGGTCCCCTGTCCACAGGGAGTCCCCGACTCCGGGCGGGGGAGGGGAGCGCGGGGCGCGGCCGCGCGGAGGCCCCGGATCTGGAGGTCGCGGGTCCGGGAGGAATCCAGTCCGGGTTTTGCGGGCTCGGGGGCCCAGGGCGCGTGGCGGGCGGCGGCGGCGCCCACAGCTCGAGCCCAGGCGGCCGCTGTAGGCCCGAGAGGCGCGGCCCGGCCGCCGGCCGCATGGGGCGCAGCGCGGCCCGCGGCTCCGGGGCGGCGGCGGCGTTGGAGGCGGCGGCGCGCGGCTCGCTCACACCAACCCCCTTCCCGCCGTAGCCCCGCCGCAGCCCGCAGCCCCGCGCACCCCAGCGGGAGCGGAGGACCGCGGGAAGCATGCAGGCGCGCCGCCTGGCCAAGCGCTCCAGCCTGGGCGGCCGCCGCGGGGGCCCCGCGCTGCACCCGCCGGGCCCGGCGCCCGAGAGCGGGAGGCCGCCGCTGCCGCCGCCGCCGCCCCCGCCGCCCCGGAGCGCGGGGCCCGGCCCCCCTCGGGCCGCCTTGTCGCCCGCGCTGCTGCTGCTCGGCGAGGAGGACGAGGAGGAGGAGGGCGCGGGCCGGCGGCGGGGGCGCGGGCGGCTGCTGGAGAGGCCCCGCGGGGGCGCGGAGGACGGGGACGAGGACGAGGACGAGGACGAGGAGGGAGTCATCGAGGTGGACGGCGACGAGGACGAGGACGGCGAGGAGCGCTTCCCGCCGCTGGGCCCTGGCCGCGCGGTCCCCAGGGGCCTGGCGCGGGGCGCGGGGAAGGTGCGTGCGGGCGGCGGGCAGCGCGGGGCGGGGCGGGGCCGGGCCGGGAGGGGCGTGGCGCGCGGGCCGCGGGCGGGGGTCGCTCAGCCCGGCCGGCTCCGGGCGCGGCGCTGCCCCTCCCTCCAGGGCGGGTCTCGCGCGGGCGCGGGCAAGGCCACCTGTCCCCGTGCGGTGGCGAACTTGGAGCTGGGACAGGTGGGCGCGGGTCTGTGCCCGGGGGCCGGCGAGTCAGAAGGGGGGACGTCGTTCTTCTTGGGGAAGCAGGGTGGTCCCTGGCCCGGGATTTGAAGGCTGGTCTGGCTCAGGGCTACCAGCCGGCAGCCCGTCCTGCCCATCAGCCCGGCTCTTCCGAGAACGATTGCTGCCGATCGGAGGCACCGGAGGGACCGGTGAGCCGGCCACAGCCGAGCCTGCGGTTTCTACGTGCATTTTGCTGGCAGCCTTGGCAGTGCCCCCTGCCCTCCCTGTTTAAACTCGACATTGTGTAGCATTTCGGCTTCTTTCCCTCCTCAAAACTGCAAATGAGCAAAAAGGAGGAAATGGAGAAATTGGGGGTCGGGGTGGGGTTGGCATTGGGAGCGAATGTGAGTGTGTGCCAGGATTCCAGCGAAGCCCTGGGCACTGGAGCGCGAGATCGCTGGGCGTGTGTATCTCCGGGAGATAAGGGGTTTATTATTACACAACTGACTGGCCGGGCTCCCAGGCGTGCGATTGGCCAAGGCAGGCCGCGCTGAGGTTCATGCACAGTGTGTGTTGCTAAGAAGTTTTGAAGGCAGCAAGTGGTAGGAGGGAGGGCTTTTTCTCAACAGTGGCCCTTAAAGCCAACCGCATGACTGCTTACTGGAGGTTTCGGGAGATAACAGTGGACAAAGTCAGCATCTATTGTGACAGTCGACCCTCGAGGAAGGGAAAATACATAAACTAGTGAGTTTAATAGATAGAGACTATATATATATATATTTTTAAATTTTTGCAGGGGTTTGCGGAAAAGTCAGCTCCTCAAAGCATGAAATTGTTGTTGCGAAGAAACCTTAGACATGAGCATTAGGACAGCCCCCGTGCTGGCATGGCCACAGATTTCTTTCCGAGGCCACCCTGCAAGTATCTTTCTGGGAGTGAGAAATTTTCAGCAAGTAGTCGTGTGGGAGGAGTTCTGACAGTTGCTTGTTGGAACCCAGATGGTGACCACACTCTTTGCCACGGCTGTTCCAAGCCTGCATTGATGGCTATAGGACCCGGCTGGGTGTGGATGTCAGTCACATGGCACCAGGACATTGAGGAGCAGGAGTAGTGAATATTTAGTATCTTCTTCCAGAAATACTGAAAATATGCCCTGTGGTTTGAACAGTGCATTGCACAATTTGTGATAGAAAACAATTACAATTCTGTCTTCTAAGCAGACCCAGGGTAGGGGAAAAAATCAAATCTATAAAAACAGAATAACTGTAGTGTGGTAATTTACATTATCAAAAAAGATTTTTCACATCTAACAAATTTCTGTTACATTATATCAAAATGGGTTTATTTTATAACTAGAGGCCCAATGCATGAAAATTCATGTAAGAGTAGGCCTTCCTTTCCCTAGCTGCCAGCATCGGCTTCCCTCTGGCACCCAGGACCCAGGCTTCCCTCCTGTGGCCGCCAGCAGGCACCTGGGACCCAGGCTGGCTTCCCTCTGTTCCTGGCTTCATCAGGAAGGACATCCAGAATGACGTCTGGAAGGGCGTCTGGTCTAATTAGCATATTACCCTTTTATTATTCTAGATATCTTGGTTAGAATAGTTGAGACATTTGAGGTATAATTTGTATAAGTTTTTACTGCTTTTCAGCCATCTTGACATTGCATCTGAAGAGATTTTCCAGTGGAATGTAATGGGACATCCTATATAATAAAGAGCTAATATGCAAATGGTCGTCACGCCCTCGCGCCCTTCCACCCTTGTGCCGGGGCTGGGGGACCTGAGGCCATGCCCCCTGCTCCGGTACCAGGCCGGGTGACCTGAGACTGCACCCCCCCACTCTGCAGGGCTTGATGGGGGACCTGAGGCTGCGCCCCCCCCCCCCCCCCCCCGCAGAGCTTGATGGGGGTGGGGCCAGCCGTGTCTGGGTCTCACGCGATTTCAAGGCGTGCGCGGGTGGGCGGGGACTTGACTCTGGGTCCCGCGGCACACCCCAGACTCTGACAGGAGGGAGATTTTCATATACATTTTACTAATTTTCTTTCATTTCTGACACTTCTATTATAGAGAAAGGGCAAATAGCAATATTAAAGTATTTCCTGTAATTAATTCCCTTTTAATGTGCACGAATTTCATACACCGGGCCACTAGTTTTATTATAAATGCATATTACAATGTCAGTATCATAGATATGTCTATCTGCAGGGGTGGGCAAAAGTAGGTTTACACTCATTGGCATGGAAAAAGACATGCAGGTTATGATGATTACAATAGCTTTATTAACTCTGTTTTGCATACTCACAGCTATATACCTACTTTTGCCCACCCCTGTATATATATATACTAATATATATATATGTGTGTATATGCATACATATACACATATGCACTTGTTTATTCAATATTTATTGAACACCTACGATGAGCCAGGTGCTACTCTAGAACACAGAAGTAAGCACCTTCATATACTCACATCTGATTAGAGGAATCATAGTAACAATCAAACAAAGATAGCTAAGCAGGGTGCTTGAGAGTGGAGTGTGCTACACAATGAGAGGGGAATGGTGGTACCTCAGAAACTAGGAGGAAGAGGAGAACACTGTTATGGAGACGACCTCCCTGAGGAGGGGATTTTGATCTGAGATCCGAGCTGCAGCTGGAGAAGATCTTTCCAGAAGGAAGGAATGACAATGGCAAAGTCTAGAAGTGGGAAGGAGGAAAGGTGGTGAGACTTGGTGGGTCGGAGATGCGCTAGGAAGGCAGGTTGGGGCAGCAGCTTAGAGCCCAGTGGGTCTTGAAATAGAGTGTGAAGACTTTGGAACCCTTTAAGCAGTAACGGCATACGAGGTGGCTTGTGTTTTAAAAGGCAATGCCGTGTGGAGTGCAGTGGACAGCAGGGAGAGACCAGCCAGGTGGCCATCGGCCAAGCGGGAGGTGAGGGCAGTGCTCCAGGTTGGCAGAGGGAGTGAGAGAGGAGTGGATGGAGTCAGGATCTATTGTGACAGATGACTCTCGAGAACTTGCTGATGTGAGGGGAGGGAAGAGAATCCAGGGTGAGGCCCCAATGTGAAGGCTGGTTGTACTGTTTGCTGTGATTGGGAGAACAACAGATTTTTGGAAGGGAAAAGAGTCCTGTTTTGGACATGTTACGTCCGAGGTAACAATTAGACATCCAAGTGGAAGCTGCAATGGGGCAGTTGGCTGAAGTATGTGGGGCGGAGGGGAGAGGTCAGGACTGGAGAGAAATATATGGGAGCCGCCAGCATGGTGATGTCGCTTGAAACTAGTTAGAGAAGAAGTGAGACAGGCCTGGAGAGGGAGCCTGGGCCAGACCCTGCGGCTCAGCACTGCTCTGGAAGCAGGTCTGGGAGGAGGAGGAGGACGAGGAGGAGGCAGCAACCATGAGTGATGGGAACTGGGAAATGTGAAAGCCAGTCAGCCAAGTGAAATAGCTCTGAAAATGGGGTGCGCTGAGTGGTGCTGAATTCTGCTGAGATAGTGAATAAGATAAGGACGGCGGCATGTTCGTTCCGATTCGATAATGTGGAACTTGGTGTCCTTGACCAAAAAAAAATGTGAAGTCAGTGATGTGACTAGCGTGGGCTGAGCAGTGAATGGAGGTGAGGACACATATGGAAAACTGTTTACAAGTTTTGCTGGAAAGGCGAGCAGAGAAGCGGAGCATTTGGAGGGCATATGGCCCAGATTTATTTTCACAGGATACAGTAGATGCTAGTGCATGATGGGAAAGTCTGGTCCAGGGCAAGTGTATTTGTTTTCTACTGCAGTGTAACAAAGTGCCACAAACTTTTTACTTACAACAGTGGTCACGGTGTCTAGGGTTAGGAGTCCAGGCTCAGCTTCCCTGGGTCCATGTGGTGTCACAGGCTGTCGTCTGGCTGCTAGGTGGGCTGTGTTGTCATCAGGAAGCTGGACTGGGGAGGAGCTCCCCTCTGAACTCACTCAGGCTGTCAGCAGAATTCAGTCCCTTGCATCTGTAGGTCTGAAGGTCGAGCTTCTTGCTGGCTGCCACCTGGAGGCTGCCTTCAGCTTCTAGACCCCCTCTTCCCACTCCACAGTGCTGTTTCATGTGGCCTTCCTCCACACAGCCGACTGCTTCATCAAGCCACCTGTCCGCGAGAGAGCTGGAGGCTCATGTCCTGCGCTGAACTCACAGGAGCAATGAAACGATCATCTTTGCTCTTGGTTGGCAGTGACTCCTGGGTTGCACTCACACTTAGGGGGAAGGGGTACACAAGGCACGGATACCAGGAGTGGAGGATCACTGGGGGTCACCTTAAGGCGGAACCAAAGATTCAGAGAGAAGAGGGATAATTTCAGGAGGAAAGCCCTTGGAAAAGCCACAGGGGAGGGGACCTGGACCCCGAGGACAGGGGTTGGACTTTGGTGGAAGCAAGAGCCCTTTGCTCATTGAATTAGAGAGAAGGTGGTGACAGGGAGCCCAGGTGAGGTGGTTATATGTCAGATGATGGTCGGATGAGGTGGTACTGGGCCGGTGGCCTGTGTTTCCCCCACACAGCAGGGAGGAAGGTCGTCGGCTGAGGATGGGGGAGACCCGAATAGAGCTGAAGGCATCACAAACCTAGTATGGTCAGCTCAAGTCTAAGTGTATAGTCTCGTTTAAACTTGATTACACACCCATGAGTCATCAGCATCATTATCATCCTCCTCATTTTGCAGAAGTGATGAGCAGTTCCCGTAAAGACACAGGTGCTGAGCGGCAGAACAGGGCTGAGCCCAGGAAGGCTCACTCCGGAGCCTGCTTGCGCCGCTGTCTCATGGACAAAGCAGACAGCTGGA